CAGCTTGTAACCAGGAAGGAACTAGGGTAGTGACCAAGGAAGTATTCCATGCTATTCCTTTACATAACCTGGGGTATAAATAAGGCGTAGATAAGAGAGCTTACTCTCTTCCTTTCCGGCAAGGTTCGAGAACGGTGGGTCCCTGTCTTGGTCTTGCTTATCTGGAGTTGAGGCCTACAGTGACTGCTGTTGTCTTCCACGTGTGAGGGGAGAGTGCTGGGCGGCGTCCAGCCGTCCTGCTTCTCTCAAGGGAAGTGGTGAGATTTTGCCAGTTCTTTATTTTGCTGGTTACCGGGTTTTTTTAGATTGTGCATACCTGTTTTGTTTCTGTCCCTTTGCATCCTTTTTTTGTCCTTTTTCCCTTCTCCCTTCTCCTCTTCCCTTTTAGGAAGCTATTTGGGGTTTCTGGGGTTATATGTATACAGTATTCTCACTGTATATATCTGTTTTATATGTAAAATATATATATTTTGCTATAGCTTTGGCTGTTCGGTTTTTTTCTTCCCTCTCTGGGAAGCAGGCTTTTGCTGAGCATTGGAGATTTTGGCAGGGAGCCAGCTCAAACTTGCTCAGATTTTTTGGTATAAGAACACCAGCTCAAGCAACCTGATGGTAAATTACATCCATTTAGTTCTGGTGATTTGGTATATGTTAAGAATTTTTCAGGAGAACCACTATGAGAGAAGTGGGATGGACCCTTCCATGTGTTGATGACCACCTTTACAGTGATCTGAGTGAAAGAGAAACCCACGTGGATCCACTACTCTCGAGTCAAGAGAGCCCCTGAGAAAGCATGGACCTCAGAACAAGAACCATCTACTCTCAAGCATTCCCAATGCTGATCTTTGGATTTCTGATAATTGCACTGGTGTGAGATCAAACTTCTGCCCAAAACTCATTATGGTCTCTGTTGCAGGATACAAATTGTGTGAACAATTTCTATTGTATTTCTGTGACTCTTGGCATAATTGGGTGTGGACACTAAAACTAACTGCGTAGTTAAAGATGGCTACAGGGGTTGAAGTTAGAACAAAGGAGGCCTGGTGCCAAGGTGAATGAGGTGTTTTTGGCAGGTGAACAAGTTTTCTCATCTCCTATGACCACCTGTTGACATCCAATTAACACCTTACAACAAAGTATGTTTTCCTTATGTATCCAATCTAACTTGGAGAAGAATCACATGTCTGAGTGTCATAAGCAGTAGAAAAGATGTCTTTTCTTCTAATAAAGCAGACATTTTGCCTGATCACATTGATCGTTTGCATGTGTTCCTGAACCTCTCCACCCACAAATGGTAGCAAAGTTGGTTTAATTCCTCTCCCGATGTCTGGTGCCTGGAAAAACAGGGACTCCGGTTTCGTCATTCCGAGGGACGTAAGGCGAACAGGAGCCGAGAGAAGCAGCCGATAGACGAGACGTTGCCCCCTGGAGTCAAGAATTTAAAGCTGCGCGCAGAACCGCAATACGAGCGGAATCTCACCCTGATCAGGTGAGCGGCTGAAGGGGGGTATGGGGTCCGCTCTTTCAAAAGAAGAAGAGGCGGTGCAAACGCTCCTCCAATTAATTCTCTCTGAGAGAGATTCTAATTATGACAAAAAAGTCCTTAAAGGGTTACTAGAATGGGTTAGAGCAAAGAAGTTAATTCCTACCGCTCAAGCTGCCTTTCAGGTGTCTATCATGGCTAGGCTTCGCGAACGAAGATTTGGGAAGGGCTCTACCCATTTTTCATGCAAGCGCGTTGGTGGCTGAAAAGGCCAATACGAGAAAGGCAGGTCCGGTTGCAAAAGACACAGCAGAAAGACTCCTTAGATGGTATATTCTGCAAGGTTCGATTCTTTCTGCGTTGTCTTTTCTCCTCAAGAGTGATCCTGCGTGCTTTCTCAAAAGCATCAGCAGCGTTATAAATGGTCTGTCTCCAGGCCTCCCGATTAGAGGCCAGAGTGGACCAGTTATGGTGATCAATATGCCCAAGGCTGAGTTGTTGCTTCAGGGAGTCCTTGTATCTTTTCTTTGGAGCTCCTCTCTTGCGGCAGCCAGTGGCAAGTTCACCATAGAGCAGGATCTTAGGGAGGCGGTGGTCCTTCATCCTAGAGACGTGCCCTGCCCATCGCAGTTGCGTTCTCAGCAACATGGCCTCAATACAGGTGTCTATATGGGGCACTATAAAGGAACAGTTATGGGAAGAAATGGAAAAAAGGTCAAAAAATGTTAAAAAGTATAGAAAATTCCCTAAAGTCTGGCGTTTTGTCGTTGAATCACTGCAAGAGTTAAGCACTGAACGGTGAAAACTTATAACTGCTCAGGCAACTTTGTCGGGAGATAGCGGGACTGCGGCGTGTCTCTGCGCCGATCAGTCTGCTTTAGGGGAGGTCCCAGTGTCTGCGCCTGCAAAGTCGCGAACGCTAGAAACCTTAAAAGCAGCGGGTTCACCTCCGTTTAGCACCGTGCTTGTAGTAGTAGAAAGTGCAGAGACTGTGAGAAAAGTGGGAGCAGCTGAGGAGAATGCTGGTGCCGTGCCAGTGCCACCGCCCTGTGCTGCGCCTGCGCAGCCTGCACTGACTCCTTTCTCTGTGCCTGTACTGGCCGCAGAGCCAGAAGTTCTCACTGCCCAAGCGCAACCTGGAACAGAGCTGCTAGAAGCCTCCGCGACACTAGATGTCCCTGCATCGGTATCACCTGGGACCACCATGTCGTACGGATTTACGTCACCAGGAGACGTCGCATCAAAACCCGGAAATCCGCCCATAGAGATTGTGGCTCCTGTGACCCTAGTCGCCCCTGCAAATGTTGCTGTAGCAACGGGAACTATTTCAACAAGGACTACCGTCTTGGCAGAAACTGCTGCCGTCTCAACAGGAACTACCATCTCGGCAGAAACCACCGTCGTTCGGACGGGGACCGGAGCCGCTGCCGGAGAGTTCATGGCTCCTCTGCCGAGACCGGCGCCTGCACCTGAGTCAGCGTTTGCTTTCGATACTGCACCTGCATCAATACTGCTGCGAGAGAAGGAAGAGAAACCTAATCATAGTAACTCAGAAGAGCTATTTTCATAATTTTCACCCTCAAGCTTGTCTTTTGATGACAAGAGCTCGGACAGTGGAAGCGAGAAAGCTACTATGCTTGCAATAAAAGACCATATAAATACTTTATTGTTTTGCTTTCAAGAGCTTGAGTCTAAACTAGTGGAGAGACAGCTTGTTCAGCTGAATACAGCCTCCTCTAATGTGTCAGCTTTGACAGAGAATAAACCCTGGAAAGCTTTAGACTGGGAGATTCTTAAAGAAGCTAAAATAACTGTAACACAGCATGGTTTAAAGGGTGATTATACACAATTAGTAATGCAGCATCTCTTTGCTGCTCATTTATTAATACCATATGATATTCATATAATTATAATTGCATTGCTTTCTCCTTCTCAGCAGGTACAATTTTTCAACGAATGGAATGCCAGGTGCACAACAGCTACTGCACAACTTAGGCAGGAAGGACACCCTCTCTTTGGTGTTACTGCTGACATACTCATGGGTTCTGGTCAGTACGACAGTATAAACTTGCAAAAACAGTTTCCAAATGAAGTGCTACAAATTAGTCAGGACTTGGCTTATAAGTCATTACTTGCAGTGAGGGATGCAAGGACAGAACCCTCATATACTAAAATCAAACAGGGACCCAATGAACCACATGATCAATTTGTGAATCGTTTGCGTCAAGCTGTGGAGTCAGATCCAGACATGGATAGTGACATGAAGGCAAAGTTCATAGACTTGTTAGCTTATGACAATGCCAATGACAAAACAAAAAGAATATTAAGCACACTGTGATAGTCAATAAAGACAAAAAGAGATAATTTGCTTATCAAATTACATTTGTAATACTGTAATTGCAAACTGTAATGTTATGTTATCATGACGAACTATATTCTATTATGTTACCCGTAGGTCTTAGATATATATGTAGAAAGAGATTTCCCTAGCAACAGGAGCAGAGTCTGACAAGGAAGACACGAAACAGGGAAGAAGGGGCCCTAACAACAAAAACAGAGTCTGTGTGGACCCAGCTGATAAGAGAAAGAAGGCAGACAGACCTGATAAGAAGAAGATGACAGGCAGAGCTGATAAGAAAGAAAAGAAACAGGGAAGAAGGGGCCCCTAGCAACAAGAACAGAGCATGCGCAAACTGAACTGATAACGAAAAAAAAAGAAAACAGGAGGAGACCCTGGGGAAGGCGGGAAGCTATAAACCTATAAAAGACAAACTGAAACTTATTGAATTTGCAGACCGTTGGTGGGGCAAGAGACCCCCGTCCGCCCAGCGCTGTTTTGCTCATTTGCCTTAAATAAAACTTTTATACAAACTTTAAAAGAGTTTGCTCTCTTTTGACTATAACATGTGTTATAGTATTTTAAGAATAAGTATTATCTCCAATAATAAGGACCTTTTTTCTCTTAGCTCTTTAAGCTTTATCTCAGAATTCATTTCGTATAGACTGGACACACTAAAGTCTGTAAGAGTCTATGCTTTCCCTTGCACTGCACTATTCTAAGTCTTTTGGTGTGATGCTTTACCATATACACTTCCCAGATTTTTGACATCTAGAGACGTTCCTATTTGTTGTGTATATTTTTTCAAATGGCATGTGTTAATGAGAATGAGTAGGGAAAAATTAAGTCTAGTTTACCAAAGCCACAAAGAGATGTAACTTTGTTCTGGTTGAGAAAATATAGTTTTCTTGTGCTTTCTTTTTAAAAAAAAAATTCTTTGTGAAAAGACCGTTTCCCCTTTAACTTCATAGCATGATCTTTGCAGTAGTCTTTAGCTATCTGAGAAAGCTTTGAATTCTTAGACCCCTGGAAGAACTATTAGACCTTAGTTTTTGTGCTTCTTGTCAATTTGCTAGTTTAATATCAAAGAACCGACCTGCTGTCCCAGTGTAAGATCACAATGCTAGTAAGATTAGATAGTGAAGTGACAAGAGAGTTACTTATTGAAACTCAAATAACTGCTGAATTCTATCAAATCCTACCTTATTCATGTCAAAAAGATGTCAGAATTCATTTCAGCTAAGATGAACAGACAAATCTGCATAAACATGTAATCAATGCTCTCCTAACCCTTCTTCTGTCTAATCAAGTTTCAGTCTACACATCTCATTATAATTGACTGAGAAAGAGGTCTGGGAGAATAAGATATTTTTGTCCTTTACAGGAAACAGTTAGACTGACCTAATTTTTATTTCTTCTCTTTTTGCTATAGATTTCCACACGCATGCAATTTAGCTTTCTTAAGACCTTGTTATGGCTTGGATGAGACTTAAATTACAGTACTATTGATTGAGAGAGTTTAAATACAAAAATGTTCCCTGAATGCTTGCCTTATCTGTATGCTCATTTGAGCTAAGAAAACTGAAAAATAATTTTTTAAATTTAAGCAGATAAAACATTTTAAAAAGGAAAACAAATGCTGTTGCAACCCAGAGCAAATGTTACCGAGTATGACTTATGCAATATATGTACTTTTTCAATGAGAAGAAGTTATAGACCCACTCTTTTATAACATTATCTTTGTGCTAACTATTCACAGTAACATACTAAGCAGCACAAAACTCTCACTAAACACCTATAAACTCGGTCATGTGCATCACATCCTACAGTTAACAGAATTGATTATGCATTTAAAGCAAACCTTATCTAAAAATAGAAATTCTTATTGAGCTTTCTATTTTCTTTATTTAACCTAATTGAAAGCCACTTTAAAATGCATTGATGACATCACCATTTGGATAAGATTCTGAACTGATGGTTCTAAGTTTCAAGCCTTTGACATGAATGAAAGTTCTTTTCGAAGCATGAAATTATCTTTTCTTGCAACTTCTTCCTTAATTTAAAATTGCTAATCCTATGAGACTGATAGTTCAAGCATCTACTTAAGACTGAAGCCTACTTTGCCCATAGATATGGCACTGTTGTGAAGCAAGAATAAACTAATAAGTAACAATTTTAAATCAGTGCATCATTCTTATGTACACACTTGCTTCAGTTTAACTATACCAATACAATACCATCTTTCTTTTTTAGAACTGTGTATAGTACACATTGAACTTTCTATAAGCTACTCTAGGCAATGGTTTTGTAACTGAAGCAATGCTACTGTGGCATTTAATACAGCTTGGATTGTCACATTTCCAGTACTTCTGCAGTGCCCTAACATGAGACTACCTTCTTTGCCAGGTGTTAGTATCTATTTGCAATCTGCATATGCAGAATTGATAAATGCTGAGAAAAATTCTCACTCTTTGCAATCTTTGATCACTTCATCTGTAGAGACAATATTTCTTTCTCTGTTGTAGTTTTAACTTGCTAGCTAGTATGATTTCTTTGCATTCTAGAGATTTTAAACTGAGAATGTTCAGTATTCCTTTTGATTTGACACTTACAAATGCTATGTATCACATCTTGAATGAGATTTATTGAAACTTTAGAGTTGCTGAGAGTAATTAAGTCTGTAGAAAAGACTTCCTTTTTTTTAGTGTAATCAGATATAATTGTTATCATTTCTTCAATCTTGTGGTTTCATTCTTTCAATAGATGATTCCTCAGCTTTGACAAAACCTATTGTTTTATTGTTAAAATCAGTTAAAATCTTGGAGCTTTATTATGCATCCTGAAGCAAATGTTAATACATTGCTTTTCTTTTACAAATCACATTTAACTGAAAGCCTAAGTGATCTGTAGGAATTCTTTTCTTTTCACCTATATATTTTACTTTATGCTTATTAACAATCTGTACTTTTCAGCTGAAACAGCTTTTGTAGCACAACTGTAGGTTGTGATCAGAAAAGCAATACAAGCAATACATGATGAGAAGACAGCTCCATCTTTTACTACAGTATGACAGAGACCAACAGAGCCATTTGGAAGTTTATTAATCGGTTGCATTATGCAATTACTGCCCATCCTGACCTAGATGAAAACATGAAGATGAAATTTTTAGACATGTTAGCCTATAATTTTATCAGAATTGTTAGAAGTTATAGATAGTATATACATACTCTATTACAAAATAGAACTGCTATAGAATCTTGCTATTATCACAAAGGTATTTGGTAAAGAAATTAGTGAGTTAAGAATTTTAAAAACACTTTTGCAAAAGCAGAAATGGGGAGAAAGAAGGATGTCAGCCCCTTAGTTGACTTGCAAAAGTGTTTTCATGTGTTAAGTTTTTTGCACACAGGTGTTCTCTAGCTATCTGCATGATGGATGAGGCCTTGGAAAGAAGCTGGTTCTTCGGAACAAGGTTGATGTTGTTCCTGCAGGTGACTGTGACGCCACCAGAAGCTGTTGTAGCTAACAGTTGTCTTAATACTATTAGAACACAGTTTATTGAGCACAATTTTTTAGTATTTTTAAGGCACATAATTTTAAAAGTTAAGAAGCACATAATTATAGAGGGTAAGAATTTAAGTATAATGTATTGTATGACCTTTGGATTACTCACTAGGTATTGGTAAAAGAAAGTTTATCTATCTGGTTAGTTTTATCTGTTTGGTTAAGAAGCTTTAACATTATAAGGTACTAGAGAATTATTATAGTTTCTTAGTTTGTAAAACACAGTGACATGGAATTCAAAAGTATGTTTGTCTGAAGTGTGTTTGGATGATGGTGGCCACCGTGTGAAAGAGAATGAATGAAAATGTATGCATGTATATGTGTGAACATGTGAACATATACACAAACACCCTTACGTAAAAATAGAAGACACATAACCCACAATTGAATAGAGTTCCATTTCCAGAAGTGTTTTAGGTTGAATAAAATTTTTTAAGAATAAACCTTACATTTAGAGAAGCACTTTTAAGTAAAATTTAAGAGCACAAGCCTTGAAGCAATAGCTTATTAAGTTTGTTAATGGTAGTGGTATTATTGTATGTAGTTGTGTTTATTGAAATGTTATGGGTACAATAAGAAATGTTACAGAAATACAATTTAAATTGTTCAAATTTGAACGGGAGATTTGTTGCAGGATACAAATTGTATGAACAATTTCTATTGCATTTCTGTAGGCCTTGCTTGACATGACTTTAGAAGTTGCAAGCTGTAATGTTTATACTTATAGACTGTGTGAAAATATGCAATGTTTTTACTTGTTAGCTGTGTGTCTAGTTATAAGGTTTGAGAACATAGTATGTTTATAGCAAGAAACCCTTGAGAAACTAGAGATAAAGGTACACCTGCAGATTTTGGAAAGCCCCTAATTAGGAAGGCCTCTACATGCCAAGTATGATTTCAGGCCGCGTGGACAGAACATCAGGTCCAATGAACTGGAGACATGAGACGCGTGCACAGACTGAGCTATCCAATCACCTTGTTGTAAGCATGTGCCCAAAACAAACTAAACTGTATAAAAGTTAACTTATTTAAATAATAAATGGGACATTTTGCCTGATCACATTGGTCGTTTGCATGTGTTCCTAAACCTCTCCACCCACAAGCCGGTCTCTCACTAATTCCCAAATGGCAGAGCTAAGGAGCTAAAGATGGAAACGAGAACTATGGAAAGGTGTGTACTTGTTTGTTTTAAATACTTATTCCCCAAGAGTAACAGAAAAAGGAAAGAAGACTCTTTTGTTTCTCTCTCTCACTGCAGCCTCTGCTGCCGTTCTTACTTGTCTTCCCCCCCTCCCCCTTCCCCATGGGACGGGGAGGAAGAGAGAAAAGGCTGGAGCTTTTTTTTGTTTCTTTTCTTGCTGCTGCAATCACCGCCGGGTTCGCCGTCGGTCTGCTGTTCCTCGGGCTGCTCCGCGCGCCGTGGAACTCCTGGGGACCCCCGCAGAAGTCTGACTGGCTCTGTAGAAGCAGCTCTCGGCGCTGCTGCCTGCTCCGCTGCTGCCTGCTCCACTGCTGCCTCTGTCGCTGGGGTCCCTCTGCCGCTCTGCCGCCTCCTGCCGTGGCTGCTGGCGCTGCCTCCCCCCGGGCCTGGCTCGGCGCGGCGGCAGCCCCAGCGCACAGCTCCCAGCCCTGGCGCGCGACCCCGGCGCCGGCACGCCGGACTCAGGCAGTAGTATGAATAATCCTAAAGTGAATTCCTATGCTCTTGCGTTCACCTGAGACACTCTAACGGGAGGAGATTCTCCCGGACTCTCATCTTTGGGTTTTAACAGTTACTATCAAACCCATGGTCGCTTCTCCACACACACACACAACCCCCAACACTCACACGCACTGTCACGGTACCGTTAGCAACACTGTGAGCTCACAACGACATTGGACACGCAATACAATTAACACGAGAGTTAACAAATATGGGAAGGCAGTTCTCTAGCCTGCCTCTCCTGTCAACGAGAAGTGGCACTTTTTCGGGGTTGCTCTGTTCTTGTTTCCCTCTGGGGCTGCTCCGTTCCTGGTTTTTTTCTTGCATTGCTCCTGCCGGGCTGTTCTCTCGCCAGCTTCCGGGCATTCTTGCCCTACCCGCGCGGCACTGCCTCGCTCTGCTCCGCCACACTGTTAAGATTCTGTGGCAATAGTAGTGGCTCTCTGGTGTTCGTCTGCACCACAACTCCACGCGGGGTGGCAGCGGCCACGATTTGAAATCGCACTGTTCAATCGGTGCAGTGTATGCTGGGCAGCAATGTGCTAGCCCCTCCAGCAGGGCGACTGCATGGCTGAAAAGTCTCGTATTAGCGGCGAGGAGGGGTGGCCTTTCTCTTTTTACTGTCTCCGGGGGTGATTTGCTAGGTTTTTCTTCATTTTCTGGCTTGAAGGGTGGTGATGTTTTTGAAACATGATCTTTTAAAGTTTTAAAGACAGTTTGCCACAGTTTCAGGATGCTGGCAGCCTGCTTAAGAGACTTAGTGGCTGCATTAAAAAGCACTCTCCCTGGAGAGTCCCAAATGTCTATACAAAATGCTGACTGAGCATCTACCCCATTTCTTTTGCACCAACTATGTAAGGTGCAGAGCGCACGTTTCTGATATCGCACACCGTGCTTCTCTAGTATCTCTGTTAGCACTGTGAGAAATAAAATCTCAGATTCAAGTAATTTCCAATTAGAATTTATTATATGGTGAGAGCAAAAACAGCGCTGTGGTGTACAAGCAGAGTCTCAATGACTCAGGAGGCTTGTCACAAACTAAAGTAGACATAGTGTCCTACTTTTATCCTCAGATACTTCATTAATATTCATTATACATAGGCATAAACATTATAAATTGTTATGCCAGGAATTCACAGATGTTTTTCTTAGACAAGAGTGTTATACATCGTTACATCAGACATTTAACAGATGTTTTTCTTACACAAAACTGTTATCTACTTACAAGCATAAATAATATACATTGTTAGTTCAGGAATTCAACAGATGTTTTTCTTAAGCTTAGTGATAAATTCTCAAGAAAGGTGTTATCATCCAGTTAATTAGACAGAGTATCTTCACAATAAATTTCGTACAAGGTAAAAGGGAGGCAACTTGTTTTATGTCTTTATAGGGGCCCAATTAAGTTTTACGATTTGTTTTCTCTTCTTTCTCTAGGTTATACTGACCTTACGCTGTTCTCTTTTTAATTAGCTCGAATCATTCTTAGTTTATTACAGCACTATGCCAACAGATTCCTCCTCCACAGATATCTGTGCTTCCATTATTTATTCCCCAATGGCTCA